CAGCTGAGAACTGCTTCGGCGACTTCAAGTGAAACCGATAACAACCAGCCCTGCAGCAAGATACGTCCGACGCACCTGCAACTTGCGTCCATCGCATGAGTCTGAAACTGAGACAATGCGTTTGAAGCTTGAAGCGTTTCCCGTTCTGCAGCAGTTCGTGCGGCGACTGAGCCTTATGATGAAGGTGAAGGAAATTCCGCTAAATTCCGGCTTCTGTGTCGGAACAATTGGTAATAATAGCCCCTTGTAGGCCCTTATAGTCCCTCCCTGCCTTTGGGAATAGTGCGCCAAAGTCCACGGGCCGTCGAAGGACCAGGAGCCGTTGCTTCTGCAAAAAGTTGGAAGTCGGAGAACAAAGCAACCGATGCAGATCACGCATACGAGTTTATATACATCAGTGCTGACAGCTTAGAGTTTCCGGGTGTAGGATTTAGATAGCTTTGCGTACGAGTGATTCTCAGGAATCTTCGCGACTACTACTGTCGTAGTTACACTTGTCATAAACTTGTTGTTCTGGTGCTTATACTATGGTCTTTGAGGATGCAGGCGATTGTGATGCCGATGAAGATGTCAGCAGTTCTACTGAAGACGTTGATGACGAGAAGATCGCGATCCTGATGATGTTGATGGCGATGCTGATGATGATGATGATGATGATGATGATGATGATGCCGGGGATGTGATGCATGCCATGTTCCAAAGGTTGTGTGCATCACTTCCGTTCTGCCTGCTTACAGTCTTCTGGTCATTGAACAAGCCAAGTCGTCGTTTTCGTCCATCGTCGTCGTCGCGATCGTCGCGGAGAAACAGAAGTGGTGGTGGTCCTGCTGCTGCTGCTGCTGTTGTTGTTGTTGTTGCTGCTGTCGTTGCTGTTGTTGTCGTTGTCGTCGTCGCTGTCGTTGTCGTTGTCGTTGTGGTTGTTGTTGCTGCTGCTGTTGTTGTTGTTGTTGTTGTCGTCGTCGATGTCGCTGTTGGTGCCGTGTTTGTTGTCGTTGTTGCCGTTGTTGCTGTTGTTGTTGCTGTTGTTGCTGTTGATAATGATGCTCCTCTTGTTGTTATCGTTGTTGTTGATGTTGCTGTTGATGCTGCTGCTTTTGCTGCTGCTGCTGCTGCTGTTGTTGTTGCTGCTGCTTGTGTTGTTGTTGTGGTTGATGCTGCTGGTGTTGGTGTTGTTGTTGTTGTTGTTGTTGTTGTTGTTGCTGTTGTTGTTGTTGTTGGCGGTGGTGGTGGTGTTGTTGTTGTTGGTGGTGGTGTTGTTGTTGTTGCTGTTGCTGTTGATGCTGCTGCTGTTGCTGCTGCTGTTGTACCGCAGTAGTAGTCATTCTCCTTCTTGCTCCCCAATACTCATGTGAGTGTAAAGGCAAAAAAGTGAAGGTTTCCGACCGGGGCTCTATGACAAAGTGGCGACCTGCATTGCTTGCACTGAGCTGCATTGGAAGCTGCAAGTCCAAGGATCGAAACTAGTCGAGTTGCGTCACAAAGCACTTCTGACTTGCTGGTCTCTGCAGAGTACACGCGTCATGAATCGCAGTTCTGATAGCGAAGGCTGCAAGGGTACGCCCCCGGCATGCTTCCACGCGAATTCCACACATCCAACCTCAGTACCTGCCGTAAGTTAAACTTGCAAAGGGCCCTTTACCCTGAGAGCGCATGAGGCAAAGAACCGGCGCCGCAAGGCCAAGACCAGCAGGAAGAAGCCTAAGTCCTTCCCGATGCTCAACATCTCATTACAATCTGCAATGCGACTCAAACGATGATAATCCGAAAACTCGCCCTCCCAAAAACCCTAAACTCTCAAACCCCAGAACCATAAACCCCCAAACAAAAACCCTGAATCCGAAGCCCCAAGCTTCCCTAAAATCCCTCAGCCCAAAACAAATAGGCCTTAATAATTTAAATGGGGTTTTGGGGCCTATTATACTATGACTATAATAAGGAACTCCCCAAAATAATATAGGTAATTATTTAGGCCCCTGCATTAAATCCTATAAAGCCCACCTCTTCGAGCCGCTGGATCTCCGGGATATTCGTCTCCTCTGGAGGCTGCCCGCTGACCTTAGAGCACGGGAGGGCTCAGGGTTTAGAGGGTTGGGGCGTAGGCTTTGGACAGGGAGGGTGGGGTGGGCTGGGAGTTGGGATAAGGGTTTGAAATTCGAAAGAGAAATCTTGGGCAAGACGGAGGATCGAATTTTCATTGCTGCTTTTATCTGTCAGCCATAAATTGGGATGGGATCGTGACGGCCGTGGTGATGGTGATAATGATAGAGGTACTGACGATGATGACGAAGATGAATATGAAGATGAGAAGGATGAACATGAACATGAAGAGTATGAATGCGAATGCAGGAGCAGGAGTAGTGGTAGTAGCAGCAAGCAGTAGCACTGGCAGTGGCAGTGGCAGGAGTAGCAGCGTCAGGAGCAGCAGCAGCAGTAGCAGCAGTTAGCAGCAACAGACACGCTCAGGCCTACAGAATGTTCTTCGAAACTTCGGCCCGCGCCAAGGCGATGACAACAGGCTTCCGTCCCTGGCTTCCGGGTGTAGCATTCTGTTCATATGCTCGGACATGCTCCCACCGTGCAGAGTGCAAGGTTAAAACTCAAAACCCAACATCCTAGATTCTACAGGTTGGTCTCAAGAACCCACCGGGGGTTGTACAACCTTTGCAATAGCTGGTGCCCGAAGGAAAAGGTGCATCGCAGCAGACTTTGGGAGCTTCTCAAGGCAGTTCAAGCGGGAAGTTGCAAGAAACAAGTCACACAGGAGCAATTAGCTCCGTCAGTACCCGAGACCCCAAGCGCTGAACGCCAAACCACTCCCTGAACTTTTGGCACCCTGGTTGACGTGGTGCCGAAGGATATCCAGAAGTGTTGAAACTGGTGCCTACAAGTGTGTCACGAGCAGATAGAATGAACAGCTGTTGCAAAAAATGCAGGTCCACATCCGTGCCAGGTGCTACTATTCCTCTGATGATGATTATGGTTCTAGCTTGAAGACCACACGGGTCTGCAGTATGAATTGAGTAGTACGCTGATTACGAAAGTAGCTATCAACACACCAACTGCAACAGCATGGAGCCATTATCCAGACAGAGTCATACAACGATTCAGATTTCAGACGGAGCCTCGTCCGGCGTCTGGCATCTTCGACAGATAGCCGACTCGGCGGGGGTCAACTTTGAACCGGAGAAGTATGTGCAAGCTCTACCGAGCGGAATTCAACTTCGGGCGTGGTGTGAGGTAGAGGAGGGGTAGGTTGTGCACAGCGAAACCGATTCTGGACTTCTTCGTCATGCCGAGGAGGCAGCAGCAATCTCCAGCATGCGCCTCTCACCTGGCTTTTCCCAGCACAAAGGTGCCCAGTGCGAGGTGTACCCCGCACTCAGCTTTTCCGCATCAACCAAATGACCGAAGCTCTCCAAGTTGATGCAAAGCTTGGCGACAGCGTGATTTCGCTTGCGGCTTCACTTCACCTGTAGATACTGTAGATGCCGGAATACGACAGTGGCTGCTTTCTGCAAATGCTCTTTTTGCGGCCTGTTGATTCTTCTTGACATTCGGAAAACCTTTTGCCGCCGTCCCACTGCTCCAACGCCGAAGCCCAAAGCATTCCCAGAGACTCCAATATCCCTTAATTAAGGAATATCCTTAAATTATAGTAGGATCTCTAATATGATTTAAGGTATATTCCTTAATTAAGGGATATTGGAGTCTCTGGGTTGAAGCAAAACCACCCGCCGCCAGCCTACCGGCATGGAGGAGAAGGTCATCGCGACGACTTTCCGGCGATCTTGCTTTGCCTCATGCAGGAGGCCGGCCAAGGTTTTTGAGAATAATGTAGGGGTCTTAGATATTAGAATAGGGTTTTGGGGGGTTTCCTTCTTATTGTTCTAGTATAATATACCCCGAAACCCTATTCTAATTATTAAGGCCCCTATATTAAGGATCGAAGCCCCGCACCCTTAACTTGACTCCAACAGCCGGAGAAAGTCTTGAGGGCCGGGCGCGGGCGATGAAGTCGCTGACCTTGTAAGCTGCAAGTTCTGAAGCGAAGACAACAGGATTAGGGCTCCGGCTTTTTAACTTGAGGTGCGAAATGAACCTTGCCCAATCTTGCATGTGTGCTTCCATGTGAGGCTACATAGGGGTCCTGGAGTTGACTCAGGTCTACGCTGTTTGAACGACAGTGTGTCGAACCGCTAGTATGATTTCTGACGGATGTGAAGCCTGCTGAACCCCAAGCTGCGACCCAGAGGTGCACAGCATCACCACAAAGACAAAGGCGACAAATCTTAAGACCAAGCTCGAATTCGTCCAAGCCATCGCAAACAATTGAATGCAACAGCACCCAGAAAATCAGACGTGAACCCAGCAAGACCTCTATGGGCAAAATCTCGGACCGCATGAGTATTAGAAGCCTGCAAGGCGGAAATTTGTCGCAGGGATAGGATGCATCAGTTCCGCAACAACTCAGGCTTAGATACATGGGCTTCAGAGCTACACTGTTTCCCCACAGTTCCGACATCCCCAAACCCTAAATTACACATAAAAGAGCTCCAGGTTGCGAACCTCCGCATCCAGTTCGCAGGAGCCCTGCCGAAGGAAGATGAAGTCCTCAGCACTTCGGGCTTAAGGCTCCGCCTGACGACCATGTGCAGCATCCGATCTGAGGCCCGGAATCCTTAAGGATGACATGTACCCTAAAAGGGCTTAGGGTTCAGATACCATATAGGATTTCATAGTCGTATAAGGGTAAAAGGCCCTTACCTTTAAGGATCATCTGGACCCCAAGGCAATCCCCAAAGCCGGGATGCCATGGGCCTTGATACCGTAACCCTTCAGCCCTAAAAGCCATATTCCGCAAGGCCCCTGTAACATCCAGAAACCTAATGAAATCACAAACCAAATCGGGGGAAGTGCTGCGCCTGGCAACAGGGTCCATGTCTTTCAAGCAACCACCCATCAAAAGACCTCCCTCCCCCTAAACCCTAAGCCCCTAAGCC